TAGCACACGGTGAATACATGAAATCCTCAAACTACGGTCATCACCGGGAGTGGTCCCGACTATTGTCACTCCGGGGTTGCCGGATCATAACACGTAGTAGATGACTATAACTTGCAAGATCAGATCTAGAACATTGATATAATGGCGATAACATAAACAGTTCAGATCTAAAATCATGGCGCCCGGGCCCAAAGTGACAAGCATTAAGCATGGCAAAGTTATAACAACATCAATCTCAGAACATAATGGATACTAGGGATCAAGCCCTAACAAAACTAACTCGATTACATGATGAATCTCATCCAACTCCTCACCGGCCAGCGAGCCTACGAAGGAATTACTCACTCCCGGTGGGGAGCATCATGGAATTGGCGATGGAGAAGGGTTGGTGATGACGAAGATCGAAGATCCCCCTCTCCGGAGCCCCAAATAGACTCCAGATCTGGCCTCCCGATGAAGAACAGGAGACGGTGGCGGCTCTGTCTCGTGAAACGCGGTAATTCTTTCTCCCTGATTTTTCCTTGGAAAAATAGGATTTTATAGCGTCGGTTTCAGGGTCTGCGGGGCCACCGGGTGGGGACAACCCACCTGGGCGTGCCTAGAGGGGGTGGCACGCCATGGTGGGTTGTGCCCACCCAGGTGCCCCCCTCCGGTGGTTTTTGGCTCTAGAAATTCTCTTTTATTGCATAAAAAATCCTCGCAAAGTTTCGTTCCATTCCGAGAACTTTTATTTCAGCACAAAAACAACACCATGGTAGTTCTGCTGAAAACAGCGTCAGTCCGGGTTAGTTTCATTCAAATCATGCAAATTAGAGTCCAAAACAAGAGGAAAAGCGTTAGGAAAAGTAGATATGACTGAGAGGTATCAGATACTATCTTGCAGACGGCATCTATCCTTGGTGGGCTGTGTTTGTGAAGACCATAGCTGAACCATAGGGCAACAAACAAAGCCACTTTGCAACAATGCAGGAAACAGCTAGGAAGGATGTGGAGAGGGCATTCAGAGTAATTCAAGCTCGTTAGGGAATTGTTTGCGGAGCTGCAATGATGTGGGAATCGGGAACTTTGTGGCAACTCATGACATGTTGTGTTATTTTTGCACAATATGATTGTCAAGGATGAGGGTGATGGTGTAGCACAAGCCAATGATTGTGAAGCACCTGAAGAACAAGTTCAAATCCCGGAAGACCAAGATGCAGCTCAGCTTATGAACTTCTGCAGATGCATCAGAACCTTCAAGATCATTAGGTGCATGCGTAACTACTCAATTATCTTGTGGAGCATATGTGAACCCATAATGGAAACCAAAGAGCTCATGTTTAAGTTGTGCACTTAAACACATTTTATGTAACAAGACCTATGTATTTTTGGTACCAACACTTACGTGCGATATTGGCTTGTATGATCAACGTGCATGGATTTGCATGGATTTGAGATATGTGGATGTCGGGCACAAAATATGAGGGGCCGGTGGGCGCTGTCTGCGGACTCACCCGCGGGCGTATAGGGGGCCGGATTTGCCAAGTCCGATTGAAGAAGTTCTGAGATTTCCCCACCTTTGTTCCCCTCTTTGTTTAGTCTATTTCCATGTACTCAGATCATATCTTCAAAGACATGGTCAAGCACCTGAATAGCATGGACAATAATGAATGATACACCTATGAGAACAAGGTATTCCCTCCTTCCATCTATATAGGGCCTAATGCATTTTTTAGGCCAACTTTGACCAAATGTTAGACCAATAATATATGACATGCAACTTACACAAAGCATACCGTCAAATTCGTATGTGAAAGGAGCTTCCAATGATATAATTTTCACATTATACATCTCATGTACTATTAATCTTGTCAATAGTCAAAGGCGGTCTTGAAAAACGCATTAGGCCCTATATATATGGAAGGAGGGAGTAACAATGTGAACCCATAACATGTGCACACAAATTTGAGCCATATGTAAATGCAATAGGAATGTAGTATCTACTCGTGAGTCATAACGTGTCAATTAGCACATAATAAGGGTGGGATATTGTTCATAGAGCATCTACAGCCGGCCTTGGCAGATCCGGTCCCCTATACGCTCGCGGGCGCGTTTGGGCGTCCGCGCATAGCACCGAGCACCGGGCGGCCCCTCATTTGGGTTGCTGCACATCCACACGCCTCAAATGTGGATCCTCAAATGAATGCAATCCATGCACGTCGATCATATGATATAAATCATCCTAATTCAACAATTCGAAACAAATACGACAAAGCAAAACAAATCATAGTTCAACAATCCAGACATGCCAAAATAAAATTAATGTCCGAGCTTCACGGATCACTCCTTGGGTGCCATCAATGTCGCTTGCTATGCGGTCATCCTTGCCTCCTGCTCTGCCTGCCTTGTTGCATGCTTCACTGCTGCCATAGCCACGCTCACCGCCTCATAGTCCATACGATCGTTGTTCTCCTTCATCCCCACAAGCAACTTCTTTGCATGCTCGTCCAAGAGGCTTTCGTCCGCCAACATTATCTTCGCATCTCCGCGTCCCGTGTGATTTACAACCTCTCCTTCTCAAGCTCAATCTCTCCAAATGTCTTGGCCTTCTTGAGCTCCCATTTGATTGTCGCCTCTTTCTTCTCCTTGCTGCATGCTTCGCTGCTCCCTTTGGCTTCTTTTTCTTCTTGCTCGGATTGGGACTTAATGTTTTGTCCCAACTTCAAATGAAGGGCAAGTTGGATCCCCCAAATTGTAGTGCATTTGGGTCGGATCTTGATTATCATTGATCATGTACGACATGATAAACTCCTACATGATCATGGTTTCCAAGCATGGATCATGTCCGAAATGAACTAGCGGTCTATGCAAAACACCGAACAGGGCATATGCAAAGTTGATCAGACAGGAGCAACAAGAACAAATCGAGTATTGTTGTGTCATTCCGTCGAACAGGTCGTGGGCAGCCCGGGAACCGCCGGTTAGTCCTGGCCATGGGCAGCCCGGCCCAGCCCGACCCGACCCAAAAAAGCCCGGCCCGACGCTGCTCTCGGGCCGGGCTCGGGCCTAGATTTTGAGCCCGATGGCCGGGCCCGGTCCGGGCCCGTCGGTTTTGCGCTTTTCTGAAGGGGGCCGGCCCGAGGCCCGGCGGGCTTTTACGCGTTCGGGCCGGGCTTGGGCCCAAAAACCGCCCGATAGCCGGGCCAGGGCCTAGGTTTTCTGCCTCGGGCTTGGCTAGGCCCGGCCCGAAGCCCGGCCCGGACCGAGGCTTGGCCAGGTATACCGCTGGTACCCGTGCTTATCCGCGCCCAAACGAACTGCGGCGACTGACAGACGTCCACATGTGGCATCTACGTGGGCGGAAAGCTCTCCGAAATGCCCCAACCGGCCGTCGGATCCTCCTCTGTTCCAACCTGGTCCGACGACGCGGTCCTTGTCAACGGCTGGATGGATGGGGTGCGGGGTTCTCGGTGCGGCGGGGGATGGGGGGGTACCTGCTCGTCGATGTCCGCATTCACTCCTTGCGACGCCGTTGCTTCCCTCTCTTGCCTCCGTCGCCGTTGCTTCCATTTCTTGCCTTCGTCGCCGTTGCTTCCCTTTCTTGCCTCCGTCGCCGGTCCCTCTGGGCGATGTTCGCCGGCTTGCGCGACGAAACCAAGGACGGGACGCCGATGGACGAGGCAGGCACAGCCTCGTTCTTAACAGTCGGGGATGGGCTGGACAATGTCTAGGGAGGCGGATCGGGACCGGCGGCGAGGATGAGGAGCAAAGGTGGCGGATGGTTGAGGGCTCGAACACGGGAAGGGCGGAGGAAGGCTGGAGGAGGGGTAAGGATTTGGTGCAATTTGTATTGGGGTAGGCCTATCGGATCCCATGTGGCGGACGTGCCCGGGCTTCCCCATATCCGCCCTACATTTGAGCCGGATATGAGGGGTGGCGGTCAGCCCGGACGTTTGAGGCGCCCGTCTGGATTGTTTTTTTTACAGGTTAGTGACTCTGAGTTGCCGCCCGGACGTTTAAGGTTGTGCCCGGCTGTAGACTCTTACCACTTTGGTTTTCGTATTTTCAAAACAAATATGAATGTGAATACGGATGTTACCTGATGCGGATGAGGATCTGATGTTACTCCAATACATATCGGATGTTTAGTCAGATTCGAAACGGGTACGTATAACATCAGCATATATTAGTTAAAGAAAATAAATAGCTACTCCCTCCGTTCGTAAATATAAGTCTTTGTAGAGATTTCACTATAAACCACATACGGATGTATATAGATGCATTTTGAGTGTAGGTAGTGAAATATCTACAAAGACTTATATTTAAGAACCGAGGGAATACAAGATAGTACAAAATAATCAACATGCAACATATAATAAGTTAATAATAGACAGATTTATGAATAAACACTACTGTCATGCATATTAATTCCTAAGTTTTATCATACAAAAAGTAACTTTTGACAATTTATTAGGCTTTTATGTTGGATAATTGGCATGTTAGGGTTAGAATTCCCTAATTCAGATACAGATATATCCACTTACACATTAATATTTAAGTCAAATTCTCTTATCATATTTGTATTTGTAAAACAAACACAGATATCTTGTACTTCCATTTCTATTCCAGTTTCAGTTTCAGATGTTTCAGATATGAAGGCATTCAATGCAAAGAAAAAAAGATACAAATAGACATTTCCTCAAATACAAATATCAGATATTTTGGATTATGCCCTACCATTTTCCACCCCTACATATCAGTGTTGATCAAAGTATGCCGTAAGATCACATTCATGGAACCAAGTAGTATAACCATTGGTATCACCGTACCAGCATCAATGCGATTTTACAGTGCTGATAAGCTCAAGATTACCTCTAGTGATCAAATCACAGATCCATGGACAAAACAATATCAGTTATGATGGGGTACATAGGGCTGGGAATGGAACATTTAAAGACACGATTTGAGAATGAGGGCAACCAAAAGAGGCATGTAATTTGATGCAAAATTCCACCAACATATCAGACGAAACTCGCGTACATGACAAAACCGGTCCACTGGCACAAATAAGGTAGGTCAGAGTTCTTGAAAGGGGAGGTCTCTAATGGCGCCGCTTAACTTATAACCCTTCACAACAGTAAACACGCATCAAAATCACGACTCTGCCTTTTTCTCTTCAGCGGCCTCTTCAAATGTCTCTCCAGGGACAAGCTCAGGAACATCATCATCGTCGTCAGCCTGAGCAGCACCTGCACTGGCACCAGCCTCGATGCCAGCAGCACCACCAGGGACCTGCTTTTGGAATTGCTCTGCAAGCCTCCGCAGGTTGTCCAAGTTGTCAGGACCTGAACACAAGGAACGGTTAAAAAAGGCAAGGGGGCAACACTCACTAGTTTTGTAGTGTATATCATTTCACTGTAAACTTTGAATTGGATATGTAGGAGTATTTATGAAAACTGAATATAGAGACATACCAAGTTGATTGATAATTGATGGCAGCAGATCTTGCAGTTCTGTCAAGATTAGGAAAAGTTAGAATAAGAATACTGTTACACAAGCATCAGAAAAGAAACTAATCTAGGGACAACGTTCAACTATTCCAATGGACAAAAGACATGTGTACAACATACAAAATAGCTGCGAATTTGTAAGTGGGTAAAAGAACATGAATGAGGTAGAAAACCAAACAAAATGACCAAGGGCAAACAACATCAAAGACATGTTAATGGAAGAAGCATACTCTTTGTCTGTGGAGTTCCACTGACTACCCATGTATTAGCACCAATTGAAGCTTGCACTGCAAGGAAACCAAGAAACGGATGTAAGGAAGTGGAAAACTTATCTTGTAGAACTGAGTTTTATTGTAAAGGGGTATCACCTTTAGGATTCAGAAACTGAATAACCACATCATCCTTAAAGATGTTGACCTCTTCGATACCAGGAATGGTGTTCACTCCTACTCTTTTCAGGGTACTCTGGAGCCTTTTGTCATCTGTAGTTGTGGTCTTGTGTACAGCCTTCTTCTTCCTACACCAACACAGAGACCATATTTAGCATGGTCACGGGATTCCAAATTCACTATCATCCCACAAGTATAAATACCATACCTAAACATAACATAGTAATAAATCTTAACATGACACGAGAATAATAGTAACGTGTGTAGCACTGTTTCCACATATACGCCAAAATGCAGATGTTTAAGCACAACACAAACTTATGTGCCAACATACAAAAAAAATAGTTAAAAGTGCATCATAGATACATATATGAAAAGAATAAGCACCTGCGCATGCTACCCTTCCCCCCGGTGCGCACAGCACCTGCCATCTTCTTGAGCTTTTCAACATTCATCTGCATGAGAGACAAATAAGATCACTACATGTTTCTTTCAGTTATGCAAGAGACAGGCTAACCTAACAAGTAACACCAAAGACAAGATACATTCACAAACAACAACAGAGTAGAGGCCCGCATAAGAACAAAAAGCATGAAGATCAATAACTAACATGACTGGATGCAACTGCACATAGACAGGAAATAACCTCGACCATATCACGTTCAAACAAGTAACTAATGTTTCCTAACTAATCACCCATACAAAGACAGTTGACATGGCAAAACCAGACCAATGTTAGTCGCTTCTGGCTCATGTCTGCTGAGCCACTAATCGAAGATACTACTACTAGCAAAATGGCTTGACACTACAGCCGACTGTGCTGGAACAAATTGTCCACTGCTCTGATATTTGTCATGATAACGATATAAAAGCTAGTGATAACCATCGAATGTAAACCTATCCACCCATTTCTGAGCTTAGACTTCAATAAAAAACATACTGATAAAGCTCTGCCCACGACGAGACCGGGACCAAGCAAAGCCCACCTCTCGTATGATACCGCAAATACCTTCCGTAAATGAAATCACTACTACCAAGTAGCATACGTGCTACACAGAACACAGCGCAAGCGCCGCTTCCAGATTCGATCGCAAGCACATCAACGAAACCAGACCAACCGCTCGAGCCGCATCGCGCGAGCCGAATCTCGCGAAGGCGCGTGAACCTACCTAAGTCAGCAAAAAGTACAGATCCAATCGCTCCTGGAGCAAACAGAACCGCGCTGATGCTTGATGCTAAGATATTGTATTACCGCTAGCGGTAGCCGGGGGCAGCTCACCTTG